AGTGGCAGAAATCTTTCGTGAATTCAGAAATGACTGCACTTTGTAAAAAGTTTCAGAATTAACAATGACAGGGAAGTCTGCAATCCCACCCTCCAACTATTTCCAGATGGCTGTAAATTGTTTTTTCACAGTTAAGCAAAGCAGTAATTCCACTGATAATGATTGATAGTAATCCCCTTGACAATAATGAGCTTGTGGGACATCTCTTTTTTACCTTTTGTCCTTTTCACAAAGTAGTGTTTATCATTTTGAATGAATGGCGTTAGCATAAACTATGTAAACAAGTCAATCACTGAACTTAGTGCTTTAAAGCTTCTGTCTACCTGGGTGGCTCAGTCATATGTCAGTATAGGATGGAAATTGATTTGAATTCCTTTCGCCCCAAACCCTGCTGATGATCAAAGGCTTATCTTGCTGACTTTTGGCATATTGATGTTTCGATCCAAAAAACACATCCTTTCAGTTAAAAATTGGCCAGATATATCAAAGAGCGATGAAGCACAGCAGTGGCCCTTTGTCTATGGACGCCACAGAGGCAGACTAATGAAAGCCGCAGAGGATTCTGGGAGCGGTGATTTGCATCCTAGGGATGAGGCCGACAGATACAGTGATCTACTGGAATACTGACTGCATGCTTGTTTTTATAGTTTATTTTATCTTGGTCTTGCAACTCCTTAGTCGATTAGACATGAGAAGGTTAGCACTCGATCATTATTATTCACCCGAAGGAATCAATGATTTATGATCAAACCGTAGGCTACCTGACTGGGTAATAAATGTGCGCGAATATTTATGGGGGTTCGGTTACTCCAGCGTCAAGGACATCAGCCTTAAATCAGAGATCATGCACTATGCCATGTCGCATCCATGGTTTCTGGGGTAGAGGCATCATAACCGGTCTTTACCACTTCACCTAAGATCCCTGTCTCCACTCGTGTGTCTTGAATGAGAAGCTGTTCCCTGGAGTCCCCGCCAGCGAGGGAATGCTTGCTAAGATTCTCTTTCAGGCCTTATTTTATGGCTCCCTGCACTTTGCCTTTTCCCCTGCCCAGTTCCTTATTCTGCAGTAGCTTCTGAAGCCAACTTGTCCTTGCCTGGACTGAATTTAACCACAACGGGAGTTTGCTTCCCCAGGGACAGAGGCCCTCACCCCAGGACACTCCCTCAGGGCCTCCCTCAGTCACTGCAGGTAGGGGAAGAGGGAACAGAACTGCCTCCTCTCAGCTAACTCACGCCTCTTCTTTCACTTGTGAACATGTTCCACATTTTTATCTGCCAGAAAACGGATCGGATTCCTAACGCCTCTATTCTCAGCCATGGGGTGACCTCAGAAAGCAGCCAGTGATTTCATCAAGAAAATGAGTTTTCTGGAAAGAGTAGCACACAGCCCTTTGCAAGGAACGTCCCCTGGTGAGACACAGGTGCCCTTCTCAGACGGGGACCACGCCCACCCGAGTGGCCATTGTGGGTGCTGTTTCTGCACAAGTGGGAGCGCCCCATCGCTATGTCCTGGGGTCTGAGGACATCAGTACTGCTGGGGTGCTGATTCCACACACTGGGGCTTGGCCTCTCCCCTCCAGACCTCATCTCAGGGGTATTCTCCATATTCATCCTCAAAAATCGTATCTAGCTAATGTGCACATCCTGCAGATTTTGCTCCCTGTATTTCTCAGTGCCCTCCCCCCGCCTCACCTCTGCGCTGTGTCGGGAAGGATCCCAATAACCCCTGAGCCACCCGCCTCCACCCCTGCCCCTGCTGTCACCCGGCACCACAGCTAGCCCATCTCCCAGCGCCTGCTGGCCACTGCAGAGGGCTGAGCTCCCGAGAAGCCAGCTGCCCAGTGCACGTTGTGATGGGCCTCTGCCCTGGCCCTTTCTGCTGTGTCTGCCCACCGGCTTCAGCTGTGGGAAGTGCTCTCAGCATGCATGCTGCCTGTGCTCTCAGCCCTTTATCTGCACTCTGTGTCCCCCAAAACACTTCCCTCCTCCTCCTTGGAGCCCAGGCATCCTCCCCTGGTATCCCCAGCTCCAATCAGAGCAGAGTCTTCAGTCTGGCCGCTGCTTACCCACCCCAATAGGACTCCCTTCCAGCCACACGGGCTCCATTGGGCCCTCTGCCTGGTGCCACAGAGCCCAGTCGTCCCCACAATCTGTGAGTTTCCACAACTGGTGTCCTTTCTGCCTGTGGTCAGGGCTTAGCACAGAACAAATGCAAGCTGTGGAATATTTTTGGTCAGACAAGACCATGGATGCACAAAATGTCACCGAGTTGTTCACCTTACAGTGGTTAATTTTCTGTTGTGCAAAAAACCAAACTAAACCAAAACCAAAACCAAAAAAAATGGGGGAAATATAAAGCCAACTGCACATTCAAAATTTTTAGATTCCACGGGTGAATAAAATCCAAGTTGAGAAAGATACGGAAACATTTCACAGGCCGGAACTCACCGGTTCCTGTAGGACTCCTTACAGAGGACACAGACGCCTTCCCCTTGTTTGAACTCACAAGACCATGAAAACCGACTCCTTTGGATCCCCCAGTTCTGAGTTAAATGACACGATGGGAAATTTCCTATGTGAATTTGATGAGGGTGATAGCAAGTGACTAAGCCAGCATTTGCTCATAGCCAATGAGCCAACAAATTACACAATAGTAATTTCTGTTCCAATGCAGTGAAACATCGTCTTTACTAAAGCTCAGGGGTTCTGTAAATTGTCTTGACCAATGGGCATAGTTGCAGGAAAGGCATAACTCATTCACTTAAAAAGTGATCAACTGCCTTGTTTCTGCAGAGGCAACTTGTGTAAGTTAAAGAATAGAGGAGCTTAAGTCTGAGCGCTTATATTTGGTGCGTGAACCTGACGTAGCTCTGAAGTCGCTTGCAGGCTCATGAGACGGGCTTCTTCACAGCTACTATAGTCCTTATAGCCTGTATGTACAATTGTTTTGTAAAATGGAAAGCTCCATCCAGTGCACTGTCACTGAAGTCCAACAGTCCACAACAACCACATAATAGTGTGGACTTTTTAAAACACAAACAAGAAGTTGGAAATAAGAGAGAAAAAACTTTCTTGACTAACTTCATAGTTTTTAAATTTGGTCTCAGTCATAGCTAAGCATCTTGAATTCATACTTTTTTGGCTATAGGACTAATTCGTTTGTGCATCCACATAAAGAGAATGAAATACAACCACCATCACTGTCCTCTGTCACCCCCTTCCTTTTCTTTTCATTTTGTTTTACTGCAGTAAGAATCTTGATTCATTTTTTAGATGAACAAAGTGATGGGGTGATTTATAACCTAAGGTACATATTAAGTGAACAGCAAAGCAAATCAATATAAGTACTTTAGCTTCCTTAAGGAATTACATTCAAAAGCTTTCATTTTTCTCTCATGTTTTCTATTTTTCTTGAAGATATTGCCACTCCATGCCAAATTGATTTTAGGGACTACCTCTATAAATTTAAAAATGCAGAAGAAAAATGAATTAAAACCCTCATTAGTTTGGAATCCACACTACATTTTAAACCCTATAATAAATTTACTTTGTTATTTGAATATTGATGACTCACTATTACAATTACCACATTAAAAAATGCCAATGCTCTATCTGACTTTGTACGCATTGAAACCAGACAGCATGTGCATAGACATATTTTGCAGCTCTAGACATTTGAGATTTGTAACTTGTCATTGAAGGTTTTCTTCCTTCCTAAGGGCAGAATTAAAAAAAAAAAGGTTGAAATAGCATTCCAACTTAAAATCTCAGAAATCAGACCCCCAAAGACCAGCTTCACTTATTTTATGTTGGAGAACTCTCTTAGATAGTTAATGTCCATTTATATGGTAATTGCTCCCAGCTGTATGTCTTACTTTTTCTCCTTTCAGCCAGATTCCATTTTCACCTAATAACACCAGTCACCGGCACTGACGTTCTACGTGAGTACAAATGATTCTTGTGAATCGTGTTGAACAGATCAATGATATGCTCAAGTTTGGCTTAAGTTGAATGCGTAACAGTCCATGAATTAAAATGAGGTGTGAGAATACCTGCCCCGAGGACCCTGTCCTTGTGTTTCTCCAAGTCACTCTCCTGGTGGAGGTCCTGCCCCCCTGGGGACCCCAGGGCCTCTGCTGGGTTCCCTGAAGCTTCTGGCCTCAGTGCCACCGAAACGTCATGGGGGTGACAGTACAGCCCACAAAGTCCATGCAGACCCCCCTCCCCAAGGACACTGGACTTAAATTTCCACCTACACATATTTCATGAATATAGAAGACGCAGTAGCCACAGATAGAACCTGAAAAACTAATGAGAGTAAGGAAAGGGGGAGAGAAAACAAGAATACTTTAAGTTTTACATTGTTCAGTTATTATTTAAAAAGTAATATTTTCGGGGCCCTTACTGTGTCCCAGAGAGACTCTCTTTCCTCCCAGGGATACAGCAGCCAGCAAGAAGGATTGAGTTAGTGCTCTCTTTATAAGGGAACGGATCAGTGCTGTTGACTCATATAAATCAACGAAGGGGTTTGGAGAGAGGAACATTCTGCAGAAAATCCAGAGGGACTGCAATGCAGAGAGACTGGGCGTCCTGACTGAGCTGGGCCTGGGAAGGGGGCCAGGCTTTGATGAGGCAGGTACTTGTCTGCAGAAAAAGCTTCTTAGCAGCATGGACCTAGGCTGGGGCCTTCCACCAGGACCAGGTGTTTGAGAAGAACAGAAGACTGGGAGCTGGAGAAGGGTGGGAAGAACAGAGTCAAGGACAGCGGAGGCACCCACAGGCTTCAGGGGTCCAGGGAAGGAAAGTCTGGGCAGGCCTGCGGCACAGCGGCAGCCAGTGACGCCTGACCTGCGCAGGGGTGATGAGCCCTGAGTTTGCTCTCTACAGGGGGAGAACCAGACCGAGCCAGAGTATCCAGTCTCCTGGGCGTGAACGAGGCGCGCGTTCTCAGAGACAATGTCCGCTGGCCTCCGGCCCTTGGGTGTCCCGCCTCCGGCACTATGCGAGCTCAGTCTCGGCTGGTGGAAGCTGCCCAGGCTACGGTACTTCTGTTACGGCAGCAGAAACTGGGAAAGGCAGGTGGCAGCGAGAGGAAACTCCCCCGCTCCTGGGTGGGCAGGCGAAGGCCAGTCCATGCCCTCACCCGGTTTCTGGGGCTGCCTGGACACTGCAAGCATCTTGCACAGACCGCAAATGTCCGCGGCGTCCGAATGAGGCTGGGTGGGCCTGAAGGAGGCTGCTGGGCGCCCTCCCCGCGGCTGAGACTGCGTCTTGTTTCAGGACGTCTGTCCTGGCGCGGGACTGAGGTGGCTTAGCAGGCCAAGCCACGCTGCTGCGCTCGCCATTGGCTTTCCACTGGGCGTCGGTGGCCCTGCATACAGGGGCGCACATGCCCCCAGGCCCACACACATGCTCACACACACACTCACACACATGCACACACACATGCTCACACACACGCTCACACACATGCACACACATGCTCACACACACATGCACAAACACATGCTCACACACATGCTCACGCTCGTTAAACAGCGGGGCCGGCGCTGTCACTCAGCACCCAGGGTGGGCACCGTGTGTCCCACCAGCCTCCTCTCTGCGGGGTCCGCAGCTGGGCACAGACTCCCCACCTCTCCTGCCAAGATGCCTCTCTCTGCTTCCAAACTCCGGACATCGAAGGTCAGAGCACCCCTGCAAACTGGGGGAACAAGCACAAGGGGCCTCGAGCTTCAGGGGCCGCCGATGGCCTGGGGGAGCTCCGAGCGCCGGTCGCCAGCCTACGCCAGCCTCCTGCAGCGAGAAAGGCCGCTCAGAAAGGCCGCTCAGGCCTCTGCCTGCGCCGCTCAAGCCTCGCGCTGAGTTCCATCGCCTGAGTCTGTCTTTGTGATGTTTGGGGCGCGCTCGCAAAGAGAGTATATGAACAGTTTGCATTTCCCTATGTCTTTCGGAAAGTCTTCTTTTAAGGTGTTTGCCTAACTGCCTTATCCAGTTGGGCATCTCCGTGAAACAGGTAGTTCTGATACTTTCCAGGGACTGCTCTTTCCTTTACCTCTAAGTCCGCATCCTGCATCCCTACGCAGAGATGTCAAACAGTCTCTAAGCTTCTCCAAGACCCTTAAGGCATCTTAAGAGTCTTGGAAGTAGGAGAGACAGAGAATCTAAATGGATACACACCATAATGGAGGGAACTTAAAGGATCTCGTATATAATGTTGGGTTAGGGTCCAGCGTCCTTAGTCCTTTCAAAATATAAAATCAAATGCATTCATAATTTTTAAGTATCTGCTAAGTTTTTGTAACACTCAGCCACCCTTACTAAATAAGGTGTCTTTCAATAAAAACAAGCTTATGCTTCTAATCAGTCATTAAAAATATGGCCAGAGGTGCACAGCGACCAGTCACTGAGGTGACTCCTGGAATGTACTGTTGGGTCAAAGGGTCTTACAACGTGACCACAGGAGGTGCGCGGAATGTCAGAAAACTGCAGAAAATGTCGAGGGATTTAAAATAGTTACAATAATCAGATATAGATGGCTCGTGTCTTGTAAGAAGCAAAATTGCAAAAGTGTCAGATCATCACAAATTGTCTATATGGTTTAAAAAAATCCATAAAAATAACAACATTTTCAAGGGAGCTTGTCAAGATGTTTCTAAAATTTTCATGGAATTGCAAAACCCCAAAATAGCCCAGGCACTCTTAAAGGAGAAGAAAGTGGGAGGACTTGAACTGCCATATATAAAGCCAAATTTTATAGCAGATGGTTCTGATGCAAGGGTAGACAAAGAGAACAGGCTAAAACAGATCGCCTTCAAATAGCCTCTCCAGACACGAGCAGTTGGCCCAGGACACAATGGGACGCTAGATGAGGCGAAAGGTGGCCTTTTCATAACTGGTGTGGGATGACAGAATCTCCTCTAATACAACAGGTAGAAACCTAGAACCACACTGCATCCCACTCACCAAAATTAATTGCATGGGGACTGTGAATATAGAGTCAGTGCACGCATGTGCGCTAATAAACTAAGCAGGCAAATAAGCACATTTAGTTAAGTTCACAGAATATCTTCATGATATCAGAATTGACAGATCTATCAACAGAGTGAAAAATAAATACAACTATAGAGAGCGACAGTATAAACTGAGTGGCATTAAATGTAAGAATTTTGAGCCCTCCCTGGTGGCGCAATGGGTTGGAGCAGAGCACTGCAAAGCTGGCCGAAGCCGCTGTCCTGCAAGTTCGATCCCAGCCCTGAGGAGACCCACGTGGTGGCAGGCCTCTCCTGTCTCCCTGCCGCTCCCATGTACAGTGTCCATCTGCCGGTGCTGTTCCCCACTCTGATTCTGGTGAATCACTGCCCCTGTGCCTCTGGCCTGTACTCCAGTTCTATATGCACAAATAAATATTTTTTTAAAAATAAGTAAATGTAAGAATTTTGTAAACCAAGATCCAACATTAAAAAAAAGTAAAGATTATTTTTAACATATGGAATCATGAAGCACTACTTCCAGAATAAATAGAAAAATCTAAATTTTAATAGAAAAGGGCAGACAACCCCTGAGAAAATGGGCTAAGAACAGAAGCAAGAATGAGAAGCTATAATGGGGCCTTATGGGGCTTTTCCAATGACTCAACAGGTTAGTATACAAGGGCAAAGATGCTTTGCCTCATCACTGACAGGGACATGTTGTTTAAATAATTAGATCCATTCTGTAGCCACAGGACAGGCTGAAATCCAAACAACCAAGGGAAGGCAAAAATGGAACTCAGGGAACTTGACTACGAGTGGTGAAAGTGTGACCTGTTATACCCCTGACAGAAAACAGGAAACACTGTTTAAGTGCAAGACCCTTATGTCCTAGAATATTCCCCATGATGACACTTCATTCCGCTGCAGATACCTTTGAAGAAAACTTACCCTGACACTTGTTAAAGCAGCCAGGCAAACTTTACTCGAGACTATTGCCATAGGGAGAGAGCAGATTCAGCTCTCAAGACAGTAAGTCTCCTGGGTAAGGAGCGACTTAGGGTAAATTATTGAAGTGAGATGCTCAGGGGTGGAAAATCCCTAAAATTAAGAGACATCAAGACTAGGGAGATGCTTGCTAAACTGACCCAAAACGGGGGGCTGAGGAACGTGATAAGATGTTGAGTGTGGTCAGCCAGCAAAGCAAGCAGGGGGTTGGAGCTAGGCTGACTGAAACGTGCTCCCCCAAGACTCTGAGGCAGGGGCAGACCAGCGGGATACTGAGGTCAGAGCCTGTGGGAGCAGAGGGCTCCTACAGTTTGATGGTTGGTGCACCCCACTAGGGGAGGCTCCGGAGACTGCTGTCTGTGTGGGAACTCATCATTGCCAGCATCCCAGGCAATCCACGGACCATCTGCCAGTCTAGGATCAACTGTGGCTCAATCCTACAAAGTATTACCTTAAACTTTGAAATGCATATCAGGTATATATAACTGTCTTTCAAAAATGTAATGTTTACCGTGAACAAATAAGGCAGATAAAATATATGCATACAAATGATTCTATTTATGTAACATTCATAAGCAGATTAAGCTGTACTATAGTAGTTAGAGGTGCATATTCAAGAAAAACAACGAATTAATGGCATGCTATTTATGCAAGCAGTTTGGGCAGGTAAGCAGGAGGTTGAAGACACACTTAGAGGGGATTCCTGTTTCCTAGCAACATCTTTGTCCTGGTCAAATTGTAGTAGGTGGTTGTAGGAACACCCTTTACTCAATAATTCAATAAACTGGAATTTTCCTTTAATACAGTCTACTTCAGGAGTTCATATTTCATAATTAAAAGGGTTTAAAGTGCTCTCTAAACATATTTTGGTATGTATATTTACCATGGAATTTTCTTAGCTTTTACAAAGAAACTGCCAGTCATGTCTTGGAGAAAATGATTCCCAGATAAAGTTACAGTCACCCATATCTGTTTTTTTTTTTTTTTCTCTGTGTTCAGTGTATGACTGTTTTTGAAAGGGCAGGCTGGATGACTAAATATGTTCTCTTTTGAAAGAGAATATACCATCTCTGGTTTGCCTATTTCTGTTCAAGAGCATTAGTCATTGACCTATTGCAGTTCCAAAATACTTTGTGTTGATAATCTCTTTACTTCACTATTGACTGTGTTTAACCTTCCGAGACAAACAGCATGATCAGGAGGCTTCATGTCAATCAACTCTATAGTTCTAGAAAAGCATTTAAAAAGATGCGTAGCCTTGTAATTATTTTTTTTTAATTACCTGGTTATGGAAAGTAAGTTCTCCCAGATCAGTGTCATTTAATCTTTTTGAAACTGACACTTTCTAGTAACTTAGTGGTGTGAGGAGTTACTGAAAAGCAACTCTACTGAATAAGCAAATTCATTTTAATTAAGATGGGTCATCTGTGTGCACTATTTCATGGTTGGGCACTTTCATCATGCTACTGAAAAGGTGAAAACATTAGTAGCAGTTTTTATCCAAATCAGAATGGTTAAGTCTTCAAGTGTCAAGAGAAGAGTTTACCGTCTTCTGCAGGGTTAGTGTTTTATGAGAGAAAGGAGCCATCACACCGCCTCTCCTCCAGCAGCTTAATTAGTGGTCTGTTCGTCATCCACTTCTCTTTTTCAAGAACAATGCGTGGACGGATATCATCCTAGGACAAACATTTTACTAGATGAAGGACATCAGAGGGAAAGTAAAATCACACAGCTCCTTCTGACATGGAAAGCTGAGTGGTGGCCGGAGAACTCGACCTAAGAGAAGATGCCACAGTTAAGGGCAGAGTTTCCCCTTTAAACCACTTTGAAGAAATCAAAGGTGAAGAGTGTTCTCAGGAAGAAAAAAGAGAAGAAAGTAAGCGTGGAGCCAATTATGATCCCCTTTTAACTTTAGGCATTGCAACTGAAAGTCGCTTAGGAGAAGCACCATCCCGAAGCTTCCAGCCTCACTGCACTTCCAGGCAGATGAAACACAAGATAATTTCCATAGGAGAAAGCAATGAGAAATTTGTAAAAATTGAGTTCTCTCTGCACTGCCATATGTT